GGCAAACTTGTGGCCAAAATAAAAGGAAAAGGAAAGATATCCACAGAGCGTCGCGGGCGTCGAAGCCGGATCGAAAGCTGAGGCGACACTGACTTTTGCTCGCCACGCGAAGCCACTTATGTGCACGCGTAGGCTTCTGAAATAATCGGCGTAGAAGGTTCGACCCGTAGAACATTCAGACCTAGAACAAACAACAATGTTCTCGAAATCACCAGAACATTAAACTGAAAGAATAAATAAAGCACGAGTAACTCCAAGGAATCAAACCCTGGCACTTCACGTGGAAGGCAAGCACGATAACCGTAAGTCCACGGCCTCGCTGCCTCCTTGGCCAGCTGCGCTCGGCAATGCAGTGTATTAGTACTTGTGGCCGCTCTTCCGTATAAGAGACTGAATGGCGGCATTCCTGTTGTCTCTTGCGTTGCCGTGTGTACGCGAGCGTTACATAAGGTAAAATGTCGTTTCACGTTGTATGTTCGACATCCACGTCTATTGACACATGACTGCAAGTGTCCTGTTAAGGCGCGCAGTCAAGCCATTTGTTTGGGGGTGGTAGGCAGTTGTCCTGCGGTTGGCGTTTTGACTGAAGTACAGAATGGCTTGCATGAGCTCGGCCGTGAAGGCTGTTCCTCGATCTGTGGTGACGACCTCGGGAGCAGCATGTCGAAGGAGGATCGCATGTAAAGAATTGTGACACCTCCATAGAGGTGCCTTTGGGAAGGGCCTGCGTTTCGGCGAAACGGGTGAGGCAGTCGGCAGCCAAGGTAATCTGTTTGTTACCGGAAGCAAACGTAGGGAAAAGACGGAGCAAATCCATTCCTACTTGTTGGAAGGGCCGCATGGGCGGCTCTATAGGCTTCAACGGTCCTGAAGGTCAAACTGGCGGCGCTTTTCGGCATTGGCATTCTCGGCAAGTATGTACGTAGGAAGTGACGTTCGTAGTGAGATGTGGCCAGTAGTAGCGTTCATGGATTCTTCCGAAGCTACGCGTAAATTCCAGATGTCCCGACGTTGGCTGGTCGTGCGCCGCTTGGAGGATTTTGTCGCCGAAGGCTGAGGGAATCACGAGTAGGTGCTGTGCCTTGTTATGGGGCGAAATTCTTCTTTACAAGCATGTCATTTCGCAGACAAAATGCGGATACCCCGAGCTTGAAGAATCTTGAAACTGCTGTGGTTTTGCCTTCGAGGTAGTCGATAAGGTTGCTTAGATTTGGATCAGCTCGTTTTTGCTGAGCGAAGGTACTAGCACTGATCGCACTTAGAAACGTGTTTTCTTCGTCCGTGTTTTCTGACGGCGGGTCGACGGGTGCACGCGAAAGGAAGTCGGCGTCAGAGTGCTAGTACCTTCGTCAAACTCCTGCAGCCTCACGCTCCAGCGTGCGCGGCGTCCGGAGGGTTCCTTTAAACTGGCGATCCAGCAAACAAACCGGTAGTCATTGATTACCTTGAAAGGCTTGCCATATAGGTAGGGGCGATATTTGAAAATCAACCATACAACGGCGAGGCATTCCCTTTCGGTCGTGGAGTAGTTTTCTTCGGCCTTGGGCCAAGAATGGCTGGCGTAGGCGATAACTTGCTCAAGTCCATTCTGGTGCTGAACACGAACGGCTCCGAGGCCTAAGAGCTCGCGTCGGTATGAACTGCTGTTTAGCGCTCTCGCCGTAGTGGGCCAGTAACGAGTGCGACTGTAGGCACTGCTCTAGCTCCCGGTATGCATCTGCCTGCTTTGGCTCCCAGGTTAACGCGACGTCATCGTGCATAAAGCGTATGATGGGTTCCGAAAGTTGGAAAAAGTCCTTCACATAGCGTCTGTAATAAGCGTAAATGCCTAGAAACCTACGAACGGCTTTCTTGGCGGCTGGCTGCGGGAAGCGTGCAATAGCTGCAGTTTTCTGGGGATCGGGATGAACTCCGCTCCCACTAATTAGGTGTCCGTGAAATTTGAGTTTTTCGTAAACGAGCGGCACTTCTGCGTCTTAAGCGTTAGTCCTGAAGAGTCAATTGCGTCGAGTACTGTTCACAGTCTCCGTAAGTGCGCATCGAAGTGCCTGGAGAAGACGGCAACATCGTCGAGATATTCGAGGCAGGTCTGCCATTTCAGCTGTTCCAACACAGTCTCCATAACTCTTTGAAACGTTACTGGCACTGTCCGTCAGGGGTTATGAAAGCTGTCTTCTCTTGGTCCCTCACGTCGACCTCGAACTGCCAATATCCCGTCTTGAGGTTCATCAAAGAGAAGTACTTGGGGTGGCAAAGTCGGTCTAGCGTGTCGTCGATTCGGGGCCGAGCATGCACGTCCTTCTTTGTGATTCTGTTTGGCCGGCGATAATCAACGCGAAACCTGGGAATGCCATTTTTTTTTCACAAGAACGACAGGCGAAGCTTAAGGGCTTTTCGGATGTTCAATAATGTCGTCGGAGAGCATCTCTTTGACCTGACGTTGAATTGCATCGCGCTCCTTGAATGAAACTCGATAAGGAGATTGTCGGAGGGAGCGTTCATCCTCATGTGTTGTGATTTAATGTTTCGCAATCGGGATTTGCCGATTGTTGAAGACGACGAGTAGGCGTCCTGGTATCGTTGAAGCAGGTGCTGCAGTCGGTCTTGTTTTTTTTCGGGGACAGCAAAGGGTTCACGTCGAATGCGGGAGCAGCCTCTTCCGTCACGGAAATTGTCGAGGGTGTATCGAACAGGGTCAGAGCGTTACTGACCTCGGCGGTGTATTCTAGGAAAGCAAGTGAGGTATACCTCGGTATACCAACACGAACACCTCAGCCCCGTCTGAGGTGTTGGCATACCGAAGTAAAGTTTGTTAGCAAGATATTCGCTTGACCTTATTCAAGGCGAACGACTCCCCTCAAAAGCCAGATTTTTCGATGAAGCAGCAGAAATTTGTTGCTTTCAACGACTCCCTCGTAATCTGTGGCTACGGCAGCTGTGACAAAGACAAGAATACTTGAGCAGGGTAGTACCGTAACATGCTCGCCAAGTAGCGTAAGCGAGGTCGGCTAGACGTATGGAATTACGGCGTGTTTTGTAGAAAATGTGACCGATTTTGATTTTAGACCGATGACAGCGCTGTGCTCCAGAAGAAAATCCATACCCAGGATAAAGGCCCGCAAGCACTGGTGCAAGACGAGGAAAGTCGTAGACTAATTGAAATTGCGGATTGTAACCCTACTGTACATCGTCCGGTGGAGGTCAAAGATGACCTCCCGCTGTACGAATCAGAGTGCCGTCCCAGTGGGTCGTCATTTTTTAGTGCTATTGCAAACTGTCCGCTGATGACGGCGCGAAAAAAACATGTTTTAGTTTTTATTCAGCACTCCACCTGTTAAAGGCAGCCACCCGCTCGAACTGTTCCCGCCAGTCGTCGGCATCTTCTTGCGGAAGCCCGTGAAAAGAAGGGTAGTCCCGCGGTCGTTGGAACATGACGGGTAGTGGTAGTGAACGTTCTTCCCGGTTTTTGGCCTTGCTGTTTTTCTTGTTTTCTTAACAGAAAGATATCCGCACCCCGGGGACATACCTTGGAGGCGGCGGCTTCTGCAGTGTACGGGAGTGACGCGCCAATGGAGCTCGGTAGGCGAGGACTGTTATCTCTGCTGCTTAGAGGAGTCCGGGGCATGCGTTATCTGCACCTCCCTCAGGTGTCACGTAGGTGAAAGAGACGTCGGCGGTGATAGAACCCAAGAAGGGTTTAATAAGCGGACCCCAAAGCAGGATCGAAAGCAGGTGGCCGGCCGGTCCGGTTGATGTGCTCGCAGTTCTTCGAAAGTGCGCGGGGCACGAGGGAACGCCAGGCGCGAGCCCCATGCAGAACCGAAATGACCGAGGCGCGCTAGTCATGCGCGAAAAATCACTGCATTTATCAACTCCGGCAATATGTTAGAAATGTGTTTTCATTTATTAAATCTGAGATATAGAAAGGTTTTGTTCATAATTAGAGTGTATAACTTTGTTTTATAAAAATGAACTTTTTGGTAGAAGCTGTAGATCAAAATGACAATCTAGGGAAAGTTTCGCGGAGTGCCTTGAAGAACGTATGCTAAAAATGCGGGTAACGTAACCTCAATTTATAATTGCTTCCTATCATTCGGGGGGAATTGGCATTGCCAATTTAGCCTTTTTCCGGCTATATTTGGGGGTTTTCAGCGTTGCCTTGTTTGAGCAAATGCCGATTCATGGGTGGCGCTATTTCTAGTGGCTCGCATGTAATGTTACCTTTTTTTTCTTGTAGTTATAAATTGCTCTATAACGTCCATTCATCGATCTTAAAAAGTTTAGATTATGCGGTAAATTAGAGTCAAACGGTCGTCATCCTGGCATATTCTTATCAAAATAGCTGTCAGTGGGAGTCACGCTCTCGACGCTATAGTTATTACACTGTGGCAGAAATGAGAACCTACTTTAAACCGATTTGTACTTCAATTTATTAACGCTTTCGCCAAATCTGACAGATTACATAGGCCCAGTCAAGAATGCACTAAAATTAAAAAATGAGGGCTATAGAACAGAAATGGGAACCTGCTTTAAACTGATTTGTACTTCAATTTTTGAACGCTTTCGCCAAATCTGCCAGAACAGATAGGCCCAGTAAAGAATGCACTAAAATTAATAAAAGGAGGGCTATAGAACGCCCAAAGGTGTGCAACAGGCTTTTTAAATGCAAGATTATGCAGTGGACATAGTTATGTGCTAAAGAATTATTCATTGTTAAAGAGTGTATTTTTTAAAGTGTTATTTGGTTTAATACATTTAATCTACTTTAAGTTTGACAGTATATTGTATGAAAAAGCTATTCTTGCGCGGTCTGTATCATGTCGAGGTTTTCAGGAATTCCTTTTGCCGTCTTTTAAATTTAGAGGTGGCAACAACTTCTCCAAAAAATTTTTAATATTAAGTATATGGAATACATATATCTATAGTAAATAACGGCTCAGAGATTGTCCTTTAGAGTATAAAAAAAACGCCGTGTGAAATACTATTATAAACCGGCTTACCGTGGCTTGGGGCTACTTCGAACGTATGTTGCCTTGGGGTCACCATTCAGGAGCTCACTGTATCGCTTCTTTAGATATTTCCCAAGTGCTAGCATAGTTTTTATACCCCGTTGTGTAAGTTCCCCAAATCCAAGCTCCCAGAGACTGCTGTTTCGATTCGTGTCAGTAGGATATGTCATAAGGGGCGCTCGATCGCCATGTCGGAAAAGACCAAACACAAGGTCGGGTTTGTGAACTTCGGACTTTTCCCGTGAAGCTTCATCGCCAAAGCCATCTTGTGAAATCAACAAGATGCAAATGACTTGAATCCAAGGATGAAACACGGTTTTGCCCTGTTTAGGAGAAAACAAAAACTTTTGTTTAACAAGAACGTTCGGGGCAAGACAACGCACAATATAAAAAAAAAGATGATTATCATGTTAGCGTTAATTTATGGTAATGTCTTTGGATACGTTTTAGAATCATTACGTGACACTTAGAAATTAAAGGTCATAAAGTAGTTTAATTAATTTGTAGCAAACTGTTAGGCCTCGCTTTATAACGTGATAATCTTTGTCATTGCTTTATATTGCATGCTAATATTTTAAATTATATGTTGATACTTCAAAGTACTATTACGTTGAAGTTACTTAAAGTTACCTAGTCTAAGAACATTCTACAAACAAAAAGTTAAGGAGAAGCTCGAAACGTCCTGTATTTTGAAAAAAAAACATTAAAATTGTAATGTAGACACTTAAAATATTAACTGTGTTAAGTTTTCTTTCGACCATATTAGTAAGAGAAACGTAATAGCCATGTAAAATTTCGAGTTAGACCTGCCCGTTGCGGCGCGCCGAGAGTCGCAAAGCGCGAGAGTGGAGAGAAAAACTAGCAAAAGCGACGTGAACAGCGGGGTCAGATAACCATTGCTTGCCACTAAGCTGGCTTGGGGATGTTGGCGATGACGTCACGACGTTCTGGTCAAATACCAGGCGTCCGAGCGAATATCCGCCTACCCGGCGGCAAATGCTCCACGTATTTTCTTCAAAATAAATGTGGTTCACGTTTACTTCTGTTCAAGGGAAGTTCGATAACTGAATTCGCGGGACGAAAACACCTAGAAGTCCGCTCCTAACTCAGGTTTCTTGAAAAGTGATTCAGCTTTCCTTTAAGTCATCCGTTAGTATTGCAGCAGAAAATGATACGAACCCGATCTAATCTTCTTTTTACACTGGCCGTTTTATCTATTGTTATACAAAACAACATTTAGACCCCAGGTTACGATAAAATTCAAGTGAAGTGAGATAGTGCTCCTCGGTACAATTTCTCCCGGTTTAAACCAAAACATAGCCATATGGAGGAGTATGATTGTAATAAATCAGAGACTCAAGTGATTATCCTCGCACTTTTTATTGCTTAGACCAGTTTGACACGGTACAACATTTTTTTTTCTTTTACACAGTAAACTAACGAAAATAAAAAAGGCTGCAACAAATTCAAGCAAGAGATAGAGAGAGAGAGTGTGAGCTAAAGCCACAGTATCATCAACACCACAAATGCTGCTAGCACAGCGCAGATACTGCTGATAAGAAGAGCTACTAGTCGAAACACCCAGCAGTCACGTGACAGCCGAGAAAAGCTGTCCAGCGAATCAAGCGATCCTTCGAATCATGATATGAGTTACGGATCGAAATATCCAATGATTCAATAATGGTTCAAAAGTCAACTGCTCAACTGTCTCGAGTTTTTGCCGAGCCTGACATACATTTTCTACGAGTAAATGGCAATTAGTCAGAGAATTAATTTTCCCTCGGATCAATTTATTTTCCACTACTTTTTTTCGTTGACAAACAAGGTTGTGGTAAGACGCTCTTTAAAGTTCAAAATTACGATGCTCGTGTGAAAACACCTGAAGACACACATTTGTGCTGAAAGTTGTGCGCGTGCGCATGCAATGTGCGTACGTGTGGGCGTGTGTGTGTGTGTGTGTGTGTGTTTGTATTTGACTCTAGTCTTGAGATACTGTGGGGGAGTTTTTAATAGGAAATCAGGCCGACACAGATCGAACTTTTTTAAAACATGTAAGTGCCACTAATACGTTAACCAACCAATTAAAGATTTGTTTTACTTCAAAGTATATATAGTCCCCTTTGTTATTACTATAGTTGCGAAAACCGGGACAACAATATTAAATACACCGGTAACAAATCTGGAGAGAAAATGCTAATAAATCCGGACACTTTAAGGGACAATCTGTGCTTCTAGTAATAAGCTCAAAATGCTTTCGTAGGTTAAAATATTACTATGCCTTTTATCAGTAAAACACACGTTTTATTTTATTGTAATAAAATGAACACCGACATCTAAGAAGTCGATTTGTTTACACTGTGCCTTTTCGCTGTTAAGACATACTTTAAGTAAAAAAACACGATTGCTCCACTTGCCATTTTAACACCACTTTGTTATTAATGTGTGATCGTCCTACAAAGATTGCTAGTCATTGTATAAATGATAGGTATGAAGATTGTACGGTCGTCAACGAACGACCGCAGTGAGGAGAAATGTTGACGGGTAATTTACACAAATAATTAATAAAAGGGGATCATTGACCCTTCCCTGCAGACGCCAGAAGTTACCCTGCAGGTCTGATATTTCAGATTATGATAGAAATGTGGTGGGTTTAATGGAGAATTCAGAGATCCAGCTGACAACAAGGTGATTATGCATATGGTATTTTGCTACGGTTTTTTAAAACTAATTGACGAGGGACCTGGTCGAATAACTTAGAGGTGTCAATGAAAATCTGGTAAGTTTAAGCATTGCAATCGAAACTTCAATAAGTCTCCGAAATACATTATGCTGACTGAGTTTCAAACTGGTATGACTGAGGAAATCCGTTTCAATATTTAATTAGAAGGTTCTCTGAGTCTAAGAAGTTCATTTTTCGTGATTATAGTACACCATATAAAGGTTTAGACGGAGCACAAGTGAGAGAAATAGGGTGGTAATTACTGATTAGCTAGAGCTCACACGTCTTGTGGACATGCGTTACGATATTCCAATCACACGAAATTTTGAGGAACCCGTGTAACTTCGAGAATGCGTCGCAGGGGAAACTAGAGGAGTTGTGCTTAAAGTTTGTTAAAACTTTCAAACTAATTTGTTTTTATGATGACCTACAAGATATCTTCAGCTGTTTGATGGCCTGCAGTACAACAACGTCATCAATTATAATAAAATTCATTAGAAGGCGATAGAACTGGCATGGGTCAAGACCGGTTGACATGTTATTGCGTTTTCATGATCCCGTGTACTAAACGCCGCTTCCCAGATAAGGAGCGGGGAGCAGACGACGACGCAGAGGCCGTCGCCGAATGCTTTCGCATCACGTCAGCGGACCGTTATGAGTGGTTGCTCGGCCGCGGCAGCAAAGTACGGCGGCCTGCGACTTTAAAAATTTTCCTAGGTTTATTATTCTTTAAATTATCACAAACTTTTTCTTCACTATATCCGCGGGAGACGCTCAATTTCGTTTGCTAAAAACAGATTCAAATACATTTATAAGTGCAAGCGCAAATGAGAAATCGTGATGGCTTCGCTATAGCCACTATTTCGTTATAACTGACTTCGTTATAAACGGTTGCAACATATGTCTTTCTTGGCGATTGGAAGGGGCTGGAACGTTCAGAGTAAAAATGACGAGAACATGGTCATAGAAGTGACGTCTCTCGAGGCGTACACCCGTGACGCGGCGAACATGCTGTCGTGTCAGTCATGGAAGTGCCGTGGGCTCCATTTTTCTCTTCTCTTTCTCATTTTCTTTCTTTCTATTTTTTTTGTTTATTTTTTTAAGCGTAAAGCAATGACGCGTCGAATAATCTTTCGCTTCAGCTACGGAGCTGCCGTAGGCTCCTTAATTAGTTTGTTTCATTATGTCAACTGGTTTCTTTCTTTGCGTTCGCACCAATGAAGCGGAGAACATGCGATCGCGTCGGCCATGGAGGCGCCGTTGGCTCCTTTCCTTCACTGCTTTCATCCGTGTGTGCGTCTTGCCTAAAAAAAAACTTCGTATTGTGTGTTTGAAATGGCACAGTAGCGCGCCCAGGTTTCCTTCGTGGGCTTACTTCGCACGCAATTCCGCATATGCGCCTCAAATATGGTTACGCGGAAGACTGCAAAATTGTCTCTACATGACCCCGAGTCACGGACATCCGCTTCTCGCGCACCCGGCATCGTCGTGCGGCACGAGCCCGTTGACTTAGCTCCAGTTTCCACAAACAACACATCTGGGATGAGTGAACAAACACACAGCGCCTGGGTATTTTCCAAGGTAAAATCCACCACTAGTTGAGCTGCAACATTAAGGCACGGATATTTCCGGCCGGTCTTAGAACAAACCTCGGTACTGATTGATTCGTATATATGAGCGGAAACAGATGGAGAGGAGGAGATGAGAGCATGCGGGAACGTCAGAACACTCAGTTTTTTTTTTTTGAACAATTAGTGAGGAAATTGAAAGTTGGCTGCTTTTTTCTCCACTCACTGTTCGGAAGCGAATAGGAAGCACCGGACGCCTGCGTTTTGGGTGTGGCGTTCGAACGTGTTCAAACATTTAGTAGAGACGAAGGCAGCTAGCTTTACATCTACCCATTGTTTATTACAACCAGAGCTCGGCGTTCTGATGTCCCGTCACTCTCTCATTCCTTCCTCTCGTTCAGTCTCTATCAGTATTACAAGCATGCGACAAAACACTGGCGCCACAATGAGGCTCATTACAGAAGCATTTCGCATTGGACATGACCTGACTGGCGAAGAGTTCTTGTGTGGAAACCAAGCTTGGTTTATAAGTAGTGTCAGCATATCTGAACACAGTGCCATACAATACGTTCGACGCCATATTCGGTGCTCGATTTACTTCACAGAAGGCCTACCATTTCAGATAGCGATGCTTTCCTTGCGGCAACGAAAATAGCCGCGACTCGAGATGGCCCTCATGTATTTTAAGCGGAACACAAAACCGGGACCGGACAAAATAGCATACGGCATGCTTCGCGACGTCCCTGATAACAAACAACACAAATTTTTCGAATATATTAACCAGGTAAGTACTTCGGAAGAAATGACATAGGCATGTAAAAAAGGTCACCTGGTGCTCCCTCCCAAATATTGCAAACATGCTAAAACACACGCCAACCTCATACCTATTTTCATGACATCATGCGAGGGGCAACTGATACGAAAGTTGGTCCTCAACGGCTGGGATGGCACATGAGAAAAACACCCAACAGCTCGCCCCCACCCCGGTCGGCTTCCGCAAGAACTTCAGAATACAGGCCGTAGTAAAGCGTATTCT